GATCTCCATAGGTGCGGTTGTACGCAACTTAACTTTTTTTGAAGTACACTAAAAGAAAGCCCTATTCATTCTCTATGCACTGATAAAAATGGGTTGCCATGACTATAACCTTTTTCAAGTAATCAATTATGAAGGTACCATCTGCATCCGCCATTTTTTTTCTTAAAGTCAAAATAACTTAAAAACCATAAATGGCAGATATCGACATATGGGAATCAATCGCCTAAAAATTGAATAATGCGGGTACTACCAAAACTACGACAAAATAACAGGCATGTGCGACTTACGAAGTAACAGAATTTGTACGAATACTTAACCTCACTTCCTATTTTTACACTTTGAAGATCCTTTTGTAAGTAGTTGTCTTTTAGGTCGAGAAAATGGGAGTGAAATATTCAAATGTTCATATTGATATTTAGCTTAGATCGATCTAAGATATTTAGACTGTTCCGGCTATAAATTTAAACATAATTGTTTTGCCGTTTCTGTCATATGGCGGCGTACAACTTAAATTATTTTCATTTTCGCTATCCATCTTGACACTTTCAAATTCGAATTGCGTCGGTAATACAGTGATCTTTTTCTTTGAGTTCAATTCAGCAACTTAGTTTATATTAAAAACGGTCTAAATTAGCATGGGATGTTTTATTTAATTTAATATTGATTTTCAATTATACAATTTTGCATTCACATTTTTGTTTTTTGGTGTTATTAAATGCAATTCTTAGATTTGGGCAAGTCCTATATACAGGGTGACAATTTGAAAACTTACCACCCCCCATATCTTAGTAAATAAACGAGATATTTAAAAAAATCAAATTCCGTTTCGGTAATTCGGAGGGGGAATCACAATGACATAGTTGGCGACGCACCCCCTCCAACCCCCTGCGCCCCAGCCACCCAAACTTTTAAATCTTAAATAGTGACCCCCCATGTGTGATACGTCGTTGGAAAGCTCTGAAAAAATGCATTACATTTAGGTTAGTAATTATCGTGTAAATCAAAAAATAAACTAATATGATACATTTGAAATCTGTCGTATTTAAAACGCAACCGGCGAACATAGACGAACTAAGACAGAGAATAATTCAAGAATGTCGAAATATTGCAAAACCAACATTTGAAAAGGTTCGACAAAAGTTTGAGAATAGATTATAACTGGCGATCAAAAATGAGTTGCTGTCGAGTCGGCTTTGGAAGTTCAAGTTAAATACGATTTTCCATGTTTATTTTTTGATTTGCACGATAATTACTAACCTAAATGTAATGCTATTTGGTATGGTTGGAAAGCATTTTTTCAGAGCTTTCCAATGACGTATCACACATGGGGGGTCACTATTTAAGATTTAAAAGTTGGGGTGGCTGGGGCGCAGGGGGTTGGAGGGGGTGCGTCGCCAACTATGTCATTGTGATTCCCCTCCGAATTACCGAAACGGATTTTGATTTTTTTAAATATCTCGTTTATTTACTAAGATATGGGGGGTGGTAAGTTTTCAAATTGTCACCCTGTATATTTCGATACAAAGGGAAGTTACAACCAGATAAATTGACAGATTGATTCTTTGTTTTTTATGAAACTTTTTCATTGGCTGGCTACGGTGAGTTTTTTTAAAGCCATGCCCAGTGATTAATTATTACTCACTGCTGTTATCCAATAATGTGAGGAATTTATACTCTTACTTCATAAAATTGGAACGTTTAATGTATTCATTAACACATATGAGTAGAAAAAAGTATTTTATGTAGTTTACTCTTATGTACTTATATGAATTGTGCCATTTGTTAAATCAGATATTTTCCAACTACCATTGTACTAATATGTAATTTACAACATGCGAGGTGTTAACTAATATCCATGTGCTTGTGGAAGTCTACGATATCTCAGGTTTAGACCACGTTTAACTCAGTAACACGGTGCCCGGGGGTGTACCTATGTAGAACCTCGACTTCCGTGAAGTAGGGCATGCAATGCTAGCTGTATTTAGTTTAGGGTGACTCGTAACATCCGCGAATGCGTGTGCCTTGTTGTATGTAACTCATATCTTTCTACCGTGAGAGGGAGCTCGGACGCTAGAATAGAAAGATATTCTAGAGCTAAGGCATAAAAGGATCCGAGGACCCTCGAACCTCCCACTTTAGGGACGAAGTGCTGTAACCAAGGCCGTCCTACACATGGGCGGCGACTCATCTCTTAACCATCTTCAGATTTGTGGCGTTACGTGACCGATGTCAGGGGAGTGTTACGAAGCACAGGTAGTAGTTCCGGAAGTCTGGGGTTTATATCAATGTCATTAGGTGTAAACTGAGCATAATTGGGGGTCCCACGAGTACACTGAGTATTGTTATAACTGCCTATTGTTACGTCACAACATGGGTAATAGATCAGACGTGTTTTTACAAACGTCACACCACTCTATTCGGTATATAATGATATGAATAACTATAGTAAGGTGACTTATATCAATAAATGCGTGAATGTGTTGCCCCTAACAATCTTAACTGCGCTACGGGTTAATAGGCCCAATTCCTAACAATATAACCGTGAAACAGGAGGGCAATCAAGCTAAGACTCTGGCCAACCTAACAAATAACCAGGTTCACCATCCAATGACTTAACTAAAAAGTGAGTTACCTTCTAGCCGCGATTAAAGGAAAGTACATGACATGTTGTGACGAATACTCTACGCCTACTGTTCAAACGTACCCTGATACTTGAATTCATTAATTAATTAAGGTAGTGTTACATGTTCTGCTTAGGTGGTGGTGTTTTAATTTGCTTGTGATTAACATAGTTTGGGTTTTATTCACGGCCAAGGTTTTTCTCAAGTCGCGCTCTTTTTCGCCTTGGTAGTCTGCTTTTGCGAGAGTGCGGCACCTTTAGGTTTTGCTTGCTTTGCTTTTAATGTACCACATCCAAATTCCGGGTTTTTCAGAATAAGTTTATAATAAATAAACTCGCAGACATTACAGCGTTTTATTTGAGTCTTTCTGCCCGACTGGGTCCCGAGTCATTGTATTAGCTTCGTGTAACGTAAGGGGGCCCTACCTTAGGCGATCCAATCACGTGCCATTCTTTTGTTTGAAATTTAAGCGGGAACCGTGTTTTGATACTGGGATTGCAACGTTGCCACTTTGCCGTGAAATCTGTCATTTTCACCTCGAGCCTGGGGTGGGTTAAGATCAGTACAATTCCTTCTCTGAAATATTTATTGTCACCTAACCAACATGGATTCATACCTAACAAGTCAACCGTCACAAACCTTGTGTGTATCGCGACCGAAATCATAGCAGCTATTATTATTATTATCTATACCGATATTTCAAAGGCATTTGACCAAATCAATCACAGCATTTTGCTTCAAAAACTGAACGGGCTGGGTTTCCATCCAAATTTAATAGATTTCTTTGGATCATATCTCAGCGATCGAATGCACACTGTCACATATAATGGATTTACTTCCGATTCGTTTGCGTCAACATCTGGCGTTCCTCAAGGATCGAATCTGGGGCCGCTGCTATTCAACATATATGATGACTTAATTGTGTTTTGAATAATACCGCGTTAGCCTACGCCGACGATATCAAGATATTTACAAAAGTTGAATCTGTTTCGGACTGTGTGCGGTTACAGTCTTGCCTCAGCTTAATAGATGATTGGTGTAGGTAATGTAAACATGCTAACATTGAATATCTCCAAGTGTCAAGTTGTGTCATATAGCCGTATTCATCAACCTATAAACTATACTTATAAGGTTGGCTGGCGTGAAATTGCAAGAAGCGCTACATTTAAGGATATAGGTGTTTTCTTCGACAACAAGCTGTCCTCAAGTCACATTGACGAGATGTGTTCACGTGCTACAAAGATGCTTGGATTTGTATTTCGCCAGTGTCGACAGTTCCATAACATTCTCTCTATGAAGTCCTTATATTATGCGTTCGTTAGATCGACGTTAGAGGATTCGTCAATAGTATGGAAACCAACGCAGGGTTACCTGATCACCAATATCGAAAAAGTGCCACGAAGATTTCTCAAATACCTTTATTTAGCCGAAAACGGGAGTTACCCTGAGCCGCATATAAGTCAGCAGCACCTTTTGCATGTTATGGGCGAACAGTCATTGCAGTGCAGAAGATCAAGGCTTAGTGTAAGATTTTTATACAATCTTATACACAATCACATCGATTGTCCATCTTTGTTAGAATGTTTGAACTTTTATGTACCTCATGTGAATACTCGACAACACTACACTTTTTATTGTAAAAAAACTAGGTTAAATATTTCTCGTAATTCACCTATTAATTCAACATGTGCTCTTCTTAACCTACTTAACAGAAACATTGACATTAATCATGACCCTTTTCCCACTATCGATATGGCTTTAGATTCCCTTTAGATTCCCTTTTTTAGATAGGTATGTACTAAATTATATCCAAATCCAAAATCCAAATGAGTCTATATATTTTATTTTATAAACTTAAATTTTGTTCTTTTTTCTTATATTATTTCATATTGTGTCCTATAATTGGTGTAAACTGTTGGACATTAAATCATTAAATAAATAAATAAATAAATAAATAAACTCAAGAAAAATAAGCACCCGCGCGACTACAAACAACGTTGAACGTCAATGTCTGAATTCTCGATGACGTATACATTCCATCCCTCCCGCTTCCGCCCACATAGTTACCAGGTATAACCTTTGAAATAAAATAACCTTGGACGGTGTACAGGCTTGGTATGGGAACTTCCCATATGCGTAGATTACAGAGGGACGATTCTAATTAAAGGTGAGTTTACAGTAGATTTGTCGCATCTTAATAATGAGTTCTGACCAACAATTAGCTCCCATTTAATTAGCGATTTCCCTTGTTGTTATATAAAATACCCCCCATTACAGAACGCTCAATAGTTGAGTGTGAGAAATTACTAGGATTGTGCTCAATAAATCTTGTTTTGAAGTGTATGTCAGTTTAAACGTGGCAACGCCGCGTATCTTCTCAGTACTCGGCCGTTTTTATAACCAACAAATTACTGGGATTTACTGGTGGCGTGGTGTAACCTGAGAACTTTCATAGTCGAAGGGTGTAACCGTCTCAGACTTATTAAACAAATTCTGTGACTCAAAAAGTAGTAATGTGGAGTTGCCCTTTCATCTAGAACCCTATTACAAAGGACGGATGATCAGTGCAGTTGACCGATCATCAGTAAGTTGTTTTGCCGTCGACATGTATTTGAGTAGTGACAATACAAAAAATAAAGCAATGGGCAGGCCCTGATCATCTGTCCTTTGTGAAACGGGTCTTATTGATAAGATTATTGTTGTTAGGTATGAATGGAGATAATGACACACTACCCATTAAAATCGAACCAAAACATGAAGAAGAAATCCATTTTGATCTTCAGGGACACATTTCAGTAAGCAATGAAGTTTCGGTGACAATAAAGGATGAAATTACCATTAGTACAGAGTGTTCTAAATCTCTTTGTGATGAAGAAGTAAGACACTCTGACTTTCGTCACCTATTCACTAGCAGTAAAACAGTGTCTAAAGCTTTTAAATGTGCTACTTGTGATTATGGAACAAATCATAAATACAGCTTCAAACAACATCTTTTGATACATAAAGGCTTTAAGGATTTGAAATGTGGTGAATGTGATTATGAGACAAATAATAAAGGCCACTTTAATCAACATCTCTTAAGGCATAAATTTTCAAAGGATTTTAAATGCGCTGGTTGTGATTATGAGACAAATTATAGAAGCAACTTTAAACAACACCTCTTAATACATAAAGTTTCTAAGGATTTGAAATGTGCTGATTGTAATTACGAGACAAATAATAAAAGCCACTTTAAACGACATCTCTTAAGACATAAATTTTCAATGGATTTAAAATGTGCTGGTTGTGATTATGCGACAAATCATAAAAGCCACTTTAAACAACATCTCTTAAGACATAAATTTTCAAAGGATTTGAAATGTGCTGATTGTGATTATGAGACAAATAATAAAAGCCACTTTAAACAACATATCTTAAGACATAAACTTTTAAAGGATTTGAAATGTGCTGATTGTGATTATGAGACAAATAATAAAAGCCACTTTAAACAACATCTCTTAAGACATAAAGTTTCTAAGGATTTGAAATGTGCTGATTGTGATTATGAGACAAATTATAAAAGCAACTTTAAACAACATCTGTTAAGACATAAAATTTCTAAGGATTTGAAATGTGCTGATTGTGATTGGGAGACAAATGATAAAGTATGATATGATAAAATAATAAAAGCCACTTTAAACAACATCGTTTAATACATAAAATTTCTAGGGATTTGAAATGTGCTGATTGTGATTACGTAACAAATAATAAAAGCATCTCTTAGAACATAATGTTTTAATGTCTTAAAACACTCTTTTTGAAACCTAAGGATTTGAAGTATGGTGATTGTGATTATGACACCAACAATGCATATACATTTAACTGACACCTTTTAAAACATAAAGGTTCGAAGTATTTTATATGTGCTACTCGTGATTATGGGACAAAGATAAACACCACTTCAAACGACTTCTTTTAAAACATTCTAAGAATTTTTTTGTTTTTCAAGTTTCACTGACTGCACAATGTTAATTAGCTACTACAATATCGTCAATATCATACATAATTAAAAATTGTTCTATTATAAATATATTTTACAAAATGCAAGTATGTTTAGATTATAATGAAATACGAAATGGAATATCTTGTAATGGTTTTTAACTAGGAAGACGGATTTAAAAGTTCCCGCAAAAAAATTTAGTTTCTATTGGCTCGCGCTGCACCCGTTTTGTTTACACCACAGTTTTATATAAGTCAATGAATAAGATATAAGCGTTGAGTGAAGGATCCTTCACTCAACGATATAAGTAAGTCTACGAGTAAAAAATAACTTTACTCCTAGAAGTAAATAGAGTGACAATCTTGTTGCTGAAAATTGACTCCAATTGAACCTTGGCAGGCCGTTGGTGAGTGTGCGCAGTAATCGACAACAGAACCGGCTTCAAATTAAATGACCCTTAAAGCAAGTTCGGCTTGAGAAATGGTTTCTCATTGCAACAAAAATTGAAAAGAAATTCAATGTGTGGTGAATGATGTTGTTAACACTGTGTCTTGAATAAATAAGAAACATTACAATCTTTAAGAACTTTTAATACAGTAGACGACAATACAAAGCTGGTAAGGGGCTTACAACATCAGAATTGAGAAAAGATTTTTTGAGATTCTGGTATAAAGGAAATCGTATATTTGTCGAGCGATCGAGTTTAAAGATCTATTTATGCACTCGGTGAAAATAAAAATAAGCAATGAAAGAATAAAATAAGTTGAAATTTTATTTTGGTGCGGGACAGAATTTCAGGTGGGCAATGCCGAAAACACAGTTTGAATACGGGTAGCCACAAAGTCGACAAACTTCAAAAGCCAATAACTCAAATATCTCAAAAATGGAGCATCAGCAGAGGGTATGTACAGTGGCACCACGCTCAGAAAGTCCCTGACGGGGCCGACGGGGTGTCTGAGGGAGCTAGAAATTTAGACTGTACATTTGAGATGCCCCAACCTTAACAACGTCCTGTGAATATGATTGTCGATACGAAGCACCCTATACATCATGTAGGTTACACAAGCTGCCAACCGAAATCTGGTGGGATTACAGAAAAAGGAAAGAGAGCGAAGATGAGACGGATGGAATTCTTGGAAGACGACATCTGTTTAGGGTGTTTTCACATTTTTTAAAAACTGGACAAAACGAAAGCCCATTGGCCGTATAAACGAGCTACACATTTAAAAAAAATATCCGAGCCTTCATTTTCGAGTAATTTCAAAATAAAATTCGAAACCAGAAATTTGCCGCGTAAACGGACAGCCGCGCGTTTGTACGGTCACCTGTTCTCAACTACGTCACCACAAAATATGATTTGTGTACGTCACAGTGCATGTAAAACACTGGAACTGTCATTATAAACAGCACGCGTTCTAACGGGTTTTGATTAATGTTTTCTGCCGTGAATTTATGTTTATATAGATTGTTTTTATTACTATCAAAGACTACCTAACATTGTGCATGTTTAAAAATGTATGGCGCACAATATAAATGGTGTTTTGTGCCATGTTGTACAAGTACATCGGTGAGTACGTCAAACAAAATATTTATTTCTGTACCACTTGAGTATTCTCGCAGAAGAAATTGGTTTAAAGCAGCTAGAAGAGATATGGCAAAATCAAAATCAACGTTTTACTGCTGCGAAGATCATTTTAATGTAAGGACATTATACCTACATATAAAGTAAAATTCATTGAAAATAAATTTTGTTTTAATTACAGCTGGAAGAAAAGAAGATATAGAAAATTTTGTACGTTATAAATTAATGGGTGGAATAGTATATTAATATTAAAGCATAAGTTGCAGAAGGCGCTATATTCTAGCACGAGTTCAAGTTTCGAACCTGAGCCGCGTAGCGGCGAAGGTTCGAATGAACGAGTGCTAGAAAGGCCTTCTGCAACATACCTATGCTTTATACTATTTTCTCTGTTGAGCATTTTAATTGTATTAAAAAAATTAACAATTCTGACATTTTCTGTAATAAATATTTCAATAAAGAAATTAAGTAAGCAACACCAACAATTTTTCAATAAAGAAATTAAGTTGGCTACCCTACATTTTGAAAAAATTTAACAAGCGCGTCAAATACGAATTTGTGCAGTATATTTTAGTTTTTTCAATAAAAAGTTAATAATGTGCGAAGAAATTCTTCCTTCCACTCCTCCAGAACTTCGACAGTTAGCAGAAGAGACTGTTCTTAATTTGCTACCAGGCAATAATTCCACAATTATTCTAAAAGTTTATAATAATTGTACATTTAGTGACAAAGATTAGTTTTGTAATTTTGTTAGGTTATAAAACCTCATTTGTATTAAATGAGGATTTCTCTACACTGAACACTGAATTTTCAATACCTAATGATTTCAATTACCCGTATCGTTAATAACTGTAACATAATGTTATAACAATAAGTGAAATTAGTCCACATTTTACTAAACCGTTGAGATAAGTATTAACGTCTAAATCATCCAGACAGAACTTTGAATTGAACATTCGCGTATATGATCAGCCTGGATGATTTAGACGAGCATGCCAACCACTGAATAGGTACCAAATGTTTTTAAAAATCTGTCAGTTGTGGAAATATAGATGTCGCCTTAGAAAAAGAAAGAGGTCTTAAGGGTATCGCAATTTTATATACAGTTGCTCCTCTTTACTATTTTTCACTCAACGGCTATACTTAAACTACTCCGCTTAAATTTGTCGGTGCAAACGGTCATTAGTCAAATTCAATCGAATCACCCATTACCCGTCACCCTTCTCAATAATAAGCATCATAACGTAATCGTAATTCGTAATATGCTCGTTATATTCATATTCATTATGGGGAGACATTGATTTTTAATTGATTCAAAGGAGATGTGCGAGAATTTTAGATTGGAATTAACAAAACGTATCGACAGTTTCCGCGGCTATTCCTTCACGTACCGATCACGGTCGAGTACGGTACAATCGGTGATGCGACACCGTTGCTTTTTCTGCAACGATGTATACGGGTATACCACATACCTATACGAAACCATAAACATTTCCAATGTTAAAATTAGTTTCTCTAGTTGTACAAATAACTAAAAATTTAAAACTTTTGGTGTTGTTTATTTTATATATTTGGTGTCAAGGCAATTGTATAAGAAATTCATTATCAATAACATTGACTTTGGTAATGTTAATAGCAATCAAATAGGTTCGCATTAAAGTAAACGCCCAATTTTGTAAAATAATTTAGACCATAACTGTTAATTTCGTGAAGTAATCAGTTCTCGAAGAGACATGCAATTTTCACGCTGCGTTTTAGGAGAAAAAATAGTTCGTTAGTGCTCGTTTCTGCACAATTAAATTGATGGACCAAAACGACGGGGATCGAAATATTTTATCAATTAACCGCACATCTCTATAATCATAATATGTATTATACTGTGGTATAATTTATTATTCATCATAGATCATCACCTTTTATTTATGATTACCCGTTGAATGTATTAATCGCAACCCAATATAATTTTATGATGAAGAAAAGGAAATAACTAAACCAATATAAACAACGAGCGACAAGGTCTCTTCCGGTTAACGAGTACCTATTGACCAAAATTTAATCACTGGTCAAGTCTACCTACTTATTACTGAAAACAGAATTTGAAAATTCGAAATCGTTCGGGAGTTATCATGTAGGTACACAGACGGACTGACAGACGGACAGAAATCATGAATTCGCTTAGGAGCTCTTTTAATAATGAAGAACTTCCTATATATTTTATTGACATAATGACCTTTAATGGAACGTAAACGTGTTAAAATAGTATATTAAAATGGGTGGAAACGAAGAATTAAATGGAGTTGATATTCTAATCTAGAAAAATAAATGTTAAATGATAACTGTAACATGCACCTGGCGTGGTATTACAGTAAGCCAGTGTAATATAGATATTACCCTGTTGAAGTTAAACACATTTCATATGGTTAACTGTACTGAGTTCAGCGACATCTACTGAAGGGAAGATTCAATTACAATTGGTAGCACCGAATGTTGTATCATGGGCGCACACCACTTTACAAATATATCGACTCGTGAGACATCTAGCAATCACAAATATGAACTAACCAAAATTCAAACGCGTTGTTTTACTATTGTGTTATATTATGGTGTAACGTAAGGGGGCCCTACCTTAGACGATCGGATCACGTGCCATTCTTTTTGAATTTTGAGCGGGAACCGTGTTTTGAAACTGGGATTGCAACGTTGCCACTTTGCCGCGAAATCTGTCATTTTCACTTCGAGCCTGGGGGTGGGTTAAGATCAGTACAGCATCTTGTGTTAAAGTACGATTACGACTTTCTGATTATGGTGCAGTGTCTACACCTATTATGGGATGAACTAAATGTAAAGCATCTGACTATTTGGCCTATCAATCAAATACGTTTTAATTTCAAGAATATGTACTTACTCACATTGTATATTAGAAATTAGGTTCAATGCTGACAACTTTGCTGTCCAAATGAGTTAAATTCTAAAAATTATGTGTTATTAAAGTTTTACTGTGGTGTTTTGTACTGGTTGATACTTATGCAATTTTCAGAATGGCATATCGCAGATAATTGAAAAAGATGGGGGTTTATTTTTCCAATTTTCCGTCTTTAGTATGCAAAAAATTGAAAACTAATACGGTTGTTATACGTAAAAAAATTTTTTCTACAAAAAACCTTAATACATTTTTGCTCTAAAATAATTTGGGGAGCCAATAATCGCCTGTTATGAATTTTACATTGAAATCGGTATGATGCGTTACGCAAGTCACCACCCTGTATATACTGGTAGGGCGGACTCGCTTAATTAGTCTTGTTTTGAATTGTATGCCAGTTTAAACGTGGCAACGCCGCCTATCTTCTCTGCACTCAGCAATTTTTTATAACCAACAAAACTGGATTTACTGGTGACGTGGTGTAACCGAACTTTCATAGTCGAAGGGTGTAACCGTCTCAGACTTATTAAACAAATTCTGTG